ACCTAACAATTTCAGGCCACTTGTTGCATGTAAATGTTAGGAACACGCCTGGGTAGCCGAAAACCTTCACTATTGTCATTGCATCAATATAGTTCTCCCGTTTCCATTTGTCGCCTCCAGTGAAAGAGGATGGCAGTAAAATCCTCTGACCAAGGTTTGATGCATCATGGTTGCCTGTGTCTAGAGATCTTCTGATGTTTTCATATGTTTCACATTGTAGTTTTTTCTGATTTCTCTTCACAAAAAAAGATACGACCAGCTTCAACTGCACTGTAACCATCAACTAAAAACTGTTGGAAACACCTCCGTGCAAACAATAGCATGCTACCATCATCATTCCTTTCCATAATACGGAAAGCAAACCACTCTCTCATACTCATCCATTTACGGGACCCTTGTACTCTTCTTCTTCATTTTGATTTTTCTCTTCATCATCATCATCATCAGAATTAGTGTCTGGATCTCCTAGTTTTATATTGATTCTGAATCCATCTTCACCATACGGAAAAATGATCGTGTACTGAAGTGCAAGGTATGAAGGGTGCAACTCGTTTATTCTCAGCAATTCTCCAGACTTATATTGAACAATAATGTCTCTTGTCTCAAATTCATTGTCCTCATCTCCTGGAATTATAGCTGCTACCTCATCAACTGTTGGAATGTTGTATCTTCTTGCATTCATTTTCCTAGCACTAATAAGCTTAAGCTTTATTTCTGTTGAAGAGTCCACCTGAACTGTGTCACGTACCTTTCTGTAAGTCTGTGCTAGGACATTGTGTTCATCTAATGTTTCCTTTATGTCACTAACAATTTGAGCATCTAGTGTGCTCAAACTGTCTCCACTCTGACCAGAACTGCAGTTCATAACATAAATATAGATAAATAAGGCGTTATAACTATATATATATATATATGAATCATTTGGAATTATATTTAAATGGAAAATCATTTCTTCAGATATAGTAAGAGTTGTACCTCAGAGCACCTATTCTGTTATTGACTTCATTCTGAGTGTCATAAATATACAACTAAGAGAACTTAGGAATTGAATCATCTTGTGGGAGAAGACTACCCATTAAATGACTGTTGTGTCCCTGCATTTTGAAAACAAATGGAGCACGTCCATTGTTTATGGTGCAAACAATTTTTCCTCCCATGGACGTGAATGCAAACATGTTATTGTAGGCTTGTATGTTATCTAAAAAGTGTCTGCTTTTGCTGTCATTAGACATAAACAACTCCTTTAATTTTGAAGGTGGTTCCTTGAGTAAGGGTAGATGGATTTTGCCTTTCCTGCAACATATTGAAGTGGGGATTGCTGGTCTCCTTCTTTTTTCAGTCCTCTCAGCATACCACATGTTAGCCACACAGAATCTACATACATAATCTGGATCACCAAGATCATCATAAGCTGCATTAACATTTTTTGTTTAAAAAACTATTTTACTGTGTTTAAAAATATAAAAAAAACTGTTATGTAAGTATAAAATACCTGCGTTGATTATATTAACCTCATTTTGTTTGACTTTGTACTTGCCAGGATGCAATACAGTTTTCTTCAAATTCATTCCAGATTGTTGGCACTTGCGCTTCAAACCTTTTAGATTGGTATCTGATGTTGCTGTGTAAGGAGACCATAGTACATGAATGTTACAAAATCAGAGGTATTTCCTACATTCCTATATCTCATAATCTATGAATTCTTGATAATTGAATTATTATTATCAGTTTTTAATCTGTGGAGAAATTTGTTTTGTTGTTGGTACTTATGTTTAAATATTTTCACCATAACAGTAATAATAACTTATATAAAATGGATAATGACTGATAATAATAAAGCACCTACCGTTAGAACTATGCCTTTGCAGTGCTGAATTATTATGAGTTTTTGAAATTGAAGTATCTGTATTAGATATGTTAAAACCACTCATTCGAATGCATGGCTTTTTTTGAACAATCTTCCCTTTTTTTTATCCCAAAATTCCTTCCTTTTCATTCTAGGATTCTCAGAGGTAGAACTCCCAAATGAAGCTGAATCTATACACATAAATAAAATATAAACATATGCCATCCACACTTCACAAAAACTTATTAACAATAAATCCAAATTACGTACCTTTTGAAATTACAGAAGAAGTTGAAACTGATTGTTGGTTCACATTTCGCATGAAAAACGGATAATGATTGTGGTGTGTATGCAAGCGGGAATGTCGACGTTAATAATTTGGCCTTTTTTATTGTTCAAAAGTTGACGTCTGAACCACTGACACTCCTTTGGAGTAAGATTCAAGCTATTGCTTAAAATCTGTTTGAAGAAACCATGCATAATAAATCTGTAAATCACTTTTCTCCTTTGATTGTTTATGATTTGGGTTCGATTCTTTCTGGATGCTTTGGCTTGAATCTTCTTTCTTTTTGCCTGTAAAATTTGTGATCGGTTTTTTCTGGCAGCCTTTGCTGACATGTTCACCATTGTTGAATTGCTAAACTTCTGTGAATGTGTCAATGTACACTTAGATGTTGTTGAACTTGTAACATATGGTATTTATCTCATGTTTTTAAGTATTGATCGTGTTTTAGCTTTTACATCTGTAAGGAATCTCATTTAAATGATTAGATGATTTTCATTGTGATATTTTAGTTGTTATCTGATTTTATCATAATCTTCATTTTAAGGAAACTATTTCTATTAAATATTTTTAAGACTGTAAAAGTATTTATTTTACATAGAGTTTTATCTTATCTTTATTAACATAAATAATTATAAATCAGTTGAATTCATAGTAAACATTCCTCCATAAAATATCGTTACCAACCAAAAGAATAAAATAATTTCATGAAGAAATCACATATATCATAAGCAAAAGTTATTTAGTTCCCACCAGACATTTAAAACAACTTTCAATATTTTGAAACAATTCAAACAATCAAGATGAAGATAGATCTAGGAAATCTCTGAAATAGAAAAAGTTACATCATTCTTTCTGGGGTGTACACTTTCGACATCCAGCATAAATTTAAGAACACTTCCTTTTGGAAACTGATTATCAAGCATCAGTGTGTTCCAATTCCCGACAATCTTCAACTGGGACACCTTTTTACCATAATGCAGTGGATGATTTATGGAACTCCATATTATACATCATTGCATTAGTGTATATGACAGTCAAGTTTTTGGTAAGGATACTCCTATGTCGTCTCCAGAATTCAGATGGAACAGTCAGTAAAAAAAAATTGGAAAAAGATAAGTAAAGTAAATATGATTAAGCTGAGAAAGTAAAAGGTATAATATATTATTACAATGGCTTTTATGCTGGCAGTGGTTATCTCCTATGGGGATCTCGAAGCAGTCATCTTCTGTGTCAGTAATAGTAGGCTTTTGTTCAAATCCTTCTTTACTGAAAAAATGCATAATTAATCGCATTTTTCTAGTATATGTGAAAACAGCAAATTCAGAATGTTGTACCATGTTGGCATGGTCTTTTAAAAGCTTATCCCATTGATAACCACTTACAACCAATCTTGCAGCATTCTCATGAGGAGAATATGCTATTTGATTGATATATGTACGCTCCCCACAGACAACCGACCAGTTTGAAAAATAACCAAAGTTATCTGCATGATCTTCTGTAATACAACTACTTAATCCAACCGGTAGAACCTGTGTGACCAAATTGAACAAAACTGAAAATTTTTACCTTTCCATATCTGTCAAAATTCAAAAAAATTACAAACAACATACCATTTGAACTTTGATGTTGTTGATGTGATTCCATGACATATTTGGTGTTGGACTGTTGCTGAGAACATTATTTTTATCAAACACAAAAACATTCATAATCCCTAATTCCCTCACAATAAAGTAGAGTCCCTGATTGAGAACTAATTTGTGAGCTTTCACAAATTCATACCAATTGTTACCACCAATCCTCACGTGTGTCCAGTCTTTATTAACGAAGCCACTGACTTTGTACTCGTTATTGTTACTGATCAATAAAATCTCTTTTGATCTATCTTCATCTTGAATGAGCAAAGTTGAAGGCAAAGGAATTTCCTACATCATTTTTTAATTGATGATAACAACAACAAAAGTTTATTACAGATGTAGTATCAGAAATACAAACTGATGAGAAATAAACTATTATCAGAACTTAAACATTACCTGAAAGTAGGCAAACCCTAGTTCCACCCTCACAAAACACTTGTTTGACATTGTTCCTTGTTAGCTGTCGGATTTTGTTCAGAAACGTAATGTAAGTTGCAGAAGGAATTTGTAAAGGGGTGGCTTATTGTATTTTTAATAGTGATATTAAAGCCTCTAATATATGTGATTGGGAATATAAATATGGTTACTCCTGATTTACAGGGATAATAATCAATTATAACGTATTTAGTGCCAGTTCTGTTGATAAGATTATATTTTGTATTCACACTGATAAGATTAACACGTTTTTTTTTTCAGTTTAAAAGATTTTTCATGGAATTTACAACATTTCCTGCTCTCGTGGTGAATTGTATTAAAGTAAACCTTATCAGTGATTACATATTGCAGGTTTAATTATTTTTGCTTCACAATAGATATATTTGACTGAGTTTTCAAAACTTTAAAATGAGGATAATGAAAATTTAATGTTATATTGCGGATAAAGTGTTTATTGCTTTCATGAAAGTTACAAAATGCTCTTTGTTTTCAAATTTTAAGCCTTATGGAATGAACTTAACATTGAACATTCTGTAAAACTAAATTAAAAAACACACATGTAAACTATCTAAGAATCTGAAGTGCTTAACAATAAAGACCAATCCTTGTATTGCATAAGGCAAAAAATGATCGAGATTAAAAAGCACTAAACATGGTGCTTATAAATTATTAAATATGTTAAAATCCATCAAAGGAGAGTTTTGGCTATAGACAACAACATCACACATATGATGTAGTGCACTTTTGATTTGGAAATTTAAATTCAAATGAAAATAAGATCAAGAAGAAGGAATTTTCTTCAGATTTTCCTGACACATTTATTCTGGGGGGATTTGACACTCTCAGGGTCCTGAGTAGATTTAGACTTCTTTGGTGGGGGACTATCAGCAGTATCTTCGAAAGGAGTTCCAACATCAGCATTCTGGATATTAACATCACCAGTACATGATATAGCAGTCTGCAAAAAAATACAGGTAAGAAAATGTATGTTTCAGTTATCTGGAGTATATTTTATAATCAGTAGTCCATAATGTATGGAAATTGTTTACGGATCACCTTTGCAGTACTATCATTTGTTTGGGTCATACTGAGCCCAAATTCAATACTAGTTTTTGCATCTATTTCCTGCATTATTACAGCATAAATGGAGTACATGTGATATGTGAGACATTATACAATTTGCATATTTGTTATTTTGCTGGTAAATAAAATTAATTCCTACAAAAGTGAATATTTAATGATAATTACCAGATCTTTAGCTACAGCTTGTAGGTACTGTTTATAATTGCAACATCTGTAGTAACCCTAGCAACTGACATTTCACTGTCCATGTTCCTTATATTAAACTGTGAAACATCAAGCTTGAACAAACACTTTTTTCCTTTAAGTTCTTCTAGCTTATTTGGATAATAAACTCCTGGTTCCTGTAGTTGTGGGTTTTTCAATCAGAATATATTGATAATGAATATTAATCCTGAAAGTAAAAATATAGACTGATACCTCTTCAAGGAGTTCAGATGCATTCTTGTTAATTAAATTGTAAACTTTTCCGTCCCATAAGGTTACTATACCACTGCCTGATCCATCAACAACAATTGCCTGTATCTTGAACCTGTCCATGGATTAACCAAAATAATATTAGATAGTGATTAAGTGAAAAATAATTTCTAAAATATGCAGGCACTGAATTGGTCATTTTTATGTGTATGATAATGATCTTACTTTTGAGTAACAGCAGAAACAGGACCATGTTTGCTGCATAGCAACTTTTTGATACCTTCACCATTGATTTCACTGGTGACCTTTTTCCCCTTCCCACGTTGATTACTTTTAGGCAATCCTACCAACCTGGTATCAGTGTCTTTACCTATTTCTGTGACCTTCTTGTTGCAGTCTCTACATCCTAAGTAGCACTAATCAAACTCTTTCACCAATCCAGTAATTTTAGCATAAGTAACCACATAGCAAGGCTGTTTGAATTCAGATCAACTTAGTAGTTAGATTCTTACAACATAGACATAAGATTTTGAAGAAAAGTTTCTAAATATGTCATTACCTCCTCTAACTCCTTTATCTCAGATAGAGTTAACATTGATGCATCCTTCACAAAGTCTTCATAAGTATTGTATCCAGATATTTTAGAAAGTATAGAAATCCGCTGGACACTTGCATCTTCATCCTCAATATCCTCCAATCTGTGAAATACGAATAATATCATGAATTTGGAAAAATAGGTAGAATATGATTGGCCAAAAGATAGTATACAGACACATTTATGTAACAGAACCTCATTTTGTATTCAGAAATTGCTGGCATAGACATGTCATTTAGGAAGATTCTGCCATTGTACATATTAGTGGTGACTGAAGCTCTTGCTGTTAAGATTTAAAAGACAAAGAAATATTGAAGTTGGCAATAGTGTATTTAAATAAATGGAAAGTTTAATTTGGATGCTAATGAAATGACTCACAGTTCCACTTTTTTGCATTTCACATATTGCACAATAAGCACCACCGGCATTACTGGATGATCAGCCATCATTGCTGATATGGCATCAGGATTTCCATTCCACAGGGTGATCTTTAACTATCAGCCCTGTGTAAAATTTGATGATTGTTCAAACTTATTCTGTTACTGTTTGGATATCTATAATGATCATATTTTAAATCTAGATATAAGAATGTACCTTTTATCCTCCAGCTCCACAGATATCCTCTTCTTATCCCCATCAATGATCGTCTCACTAACACCAATAACATGTCCAATAACATCTAGATTAAACAAAAGATTTAGTAAGGTTGTTATGTTTACTTAAATCAAAACATAAATTGTAATAATATAAGGATATAAAATATATACCAAAACAGAAATCAAAATTCGCAATGAAATTTGATATTTCAGTAAAAGGAGTGAATTCAAACACATGGTTAGGAATATCCAAATCAACAACATCATCCACAATGGTGTTAGGTTCAAAGACGATTTTGTATTCGTGTTTTGAAAAACGGTAACCACCAACAATGTTCAAAGCATGATCAAAACATACTATTTGCCGAAGACAGCCTTCTGCGAAGTAGTTGATAAAGCTGTCCATAAAGCTTTTAGGGTAGCCTGAATTTTTCCACCCTATATTTGGAAAACAGATTAGTATACAGTGATGTAGTTGGTTTCTATCCAATTCATAGTAATATAATATTTAAAAAGATCGCAATGTGTTATACCTGAGCATCAATGAATATGAGTTCAAGTGACTTGATTTCTTTCTGATCTGCCTTCATGTACATCTTCCAGATTGACATGACACAAACTATGATTCTGAAGTGCGGACTTTTGGTGCTTATCAAGCCGTTAATGTCTACAATATACCTCTGAGCAGCAGCCATTGAAAGGTGATGAAGAGAAGAATAGGTGCCAAAGTCAAGAAAGAGGTGATTCAGCATTATTTGATGCTGGTTGACTGGTGGCTATAACTCCTGCCATATAAACATATTTATACAGGTATATTTCATAGCCTTGATAAGCATGGTTGGTTGATAACATTTGATGGCTATTAAATATGGCATATTTTCCAAACTATGATGATCGGATATGCACAATTTTGGTTACATGAATTCCCGGTTTATCATGGTTGTATGATGATCATGATACATGGATATATATGCATAATTTTGGGTGAAATTTGATTTGTGATCTTAAGTATAAATGTTGATTGATTTATGGTCTGAGTTTTACTGATTTGTAAACACAGTAAAAATGAATCTGGACACCAACATGGCTTGATTCGTTAATGCTTGGAGATGGTAACTGTAAAAATTTGTGATCTTTTGTAGGGCTTTGAAACCGGCAGAGATAATTGGGAGGGCTTTGAATCAGGGAGAGATAATTCGCATGATCTTCATTATAATTGTAGTTTCTTTTTTAAAATTTAAACTCCTATTTGTAACAGTTTAAAGGGAAGATTACCTGGACTGTATATATCCCTTATATTGGGGAGGAGTTATTATAACGTGATTATTATGATGTGATCTTTTTAAATGGAGACTGTTTTTTTGGAAACAGTTTAAATGGGAGATGACCTGGACTGTATATATATCCCTTATATTGGGGAGGATTTTGGGGTCTGTATTTTTGGAGACACTTTAAAGGGGAGATTTACCTGGACTGTATTTTTTTTTTTACCTTCCCGGGTGATAGCACCCCTCGCCACATGGCGTATTTTTTGGGAAAATCCTTGAGTTTTTCGTTTTAGGCGGGAAAAAAAATTTTGTGAAGCTGACACGTGTCCTAAGTGTTTATTGCTTTCATGAAGTGTAAAGGGATACAAACTTGAAAATAAGTCCATCTACATTCCAAAACTATTCTATGCTTGAGTGCTTGATGGAAACAATTCGAAAAGAATACCAAAAAGGTCGTAACATCTAATTTTTTAAATGGAATCTAATTTAGACCTTCTCATAAAATTGGATAATCATAAAAGAAATCATTTTTTAATTGTAGTTAACCAAATTCAATTTTTACGTATATAAATATCATTAATTAAATTATATTTTTTCGGGATAAAATCTTAAAAGATACATATACATTCTGAAAAATCATGAAAGATCCTTATCGTAATAAATATTGCCCTTTTCTTCTTTTTTTTTTTTAAAAGAACAAATTGATAAGATACCTTTATCCAAATCAAAATTTTTAAATAAAATGTAAATATGTCTTTGTAGTCAAATCTACGTATGCCTTATGTTAACTATATATGATCATAAAATTTGGGATGATTATGAAAATAAATTCCACAGCAAAAATATACACCTTTTCACGGAAAATACATATGATTATAAATTAGAATTTACATATTCACAATCAAGTACAACACACGGTACAATATGAAAACAATAGCGAGACACCGAAAAACATACGAAAAAAATTAAGCCACCAAAACCATTACATGTTTACTTACTAAGAACTCGGATCCATTTAAGCAGTACGATATGGAGTGACATACTGTTAAAGATGAAAAAATAAAGATGGAATGAGATTCTCTAGTTCCTTTTTATTTTAATTTTTTTTTTTTTTTGGTTTAATAGGGTGTCAAAATACTAAAATAATAGTTAAAACCATTGCATGTTTTTAACCTGCCAAAAACTCGGAATTTTTTAAGGAATACAATATAGAGTGAGATGTCGTTAACAATGGAAAATGAAAATGAAATGAGATTCGCTAATTCCTATTTTTATATGTTTTATAGTTTCACAAGGTATCAAAAATACTAAAATAGCAGCCGAAACCATTGCAAGCTTTTAACTTACTAAAGACTTTGAACCTTTTAAGCAAGATGATGTAAAATAAAATGTTATTAAAGATGAAAATAAATATAGAATGAGACTCTTGATTATTCTCTTTTTTTTTGTTTTTTTTTTTGTTTATTCAACGGGCAGCTAAAAAGACTAAAATAGCAGCCAAAACGGTTGCAAATTTTCAACCTGCTAAAGACTTTGCAGATTTGTTACTTACTAAAACTCAGAACTTTTTAAGCAAGAAGATGCAGAGTAACATACTAGTAATGAAAATGGAGATGGAATGAGACCAGCCAGAACATCGGTTTCATAATTAGACGACACTGCTGAAGTTTCCTCTTTGGACAATTAAATCTTGGTTTTTTTTTTTTTTGTTCAACGTGTTGTCGGAAATACTAAAATAGTAATCAAAATCATTTTAGCTTTTAAATCTACCAGAGACTCAGAATCTTTCCAGAGTGAAGTTCAAAAAAAGTCTTAAAATTCTTATATTTAAAAAAGAGGGTGAATTCTACATTCGCGCGAAAGATGTGATTTACATTGAAGCCCTAAAGAATATTTGATGTTGCTATTATTGCTTTTATTACTATTTTTTCCTTCGTTTTTAAATAAGATGACAACTTGTGTTAATTTCTCATATTATGAATAGAAAATAACGAATAGAAGCATTGGTTGAACTCATGATGGGTATTAAAAGGAGACTATGTTTTAACAAGAAGCATACTACTAACACTAGGAAAAAATATGAAAAATTATTGATCTCAAATTTTCTAAAAGGTTATGTGGGAGAAATCAATTAAGTACTTACACTTCAAATTAAAATATGACAACTTATGGACACAAGTTGAAAAACGAAAATAATGATTAATGAAGATAAAATATGGCCGATAAAAAAAGAAAAAGAAATTAAAACTCAAATTGAATTAGAAAAGAAAAGTATCATCTTTATCAAATATGATTAATGTCCAATAAACATCGAACAACTTTTTCAGGCCAAAGTTTATCCCAATCTTATCACTTTAAGTAGTATATATTCAAAATTTCAAGTTTTTAAAATCACCGCATTAAAAGGGATAAAATATTTAAATTTTATTCACCGAAAACTACTAGGTGTAAATCTTTTAGTAGTTATGTATGTACTCCATCATTATAATGTGACAAAATAAATTTAAAAGAAAAAACTTATAAACAAATTTTTTAAATAGATGCAATAAATCATTATCTATATAATACCTTGACTACAAGGTCAACTTTGAGTCATTACAATTTTTGCCCACCGAAATTTTGCTAAAAGTCATTAATGCTAATATTTTAAAATGTATAATAGTTTGTGCAGAAAAATAGTAACATTGAATTTTTACAAAGAATGAATTATAACCATCTATATTTATACCTTATCTTAAAGGGTTTGTGCATTTAATGGTTATGGTATAATTGAAATTCAGCCATACACATCATTAACTGTAATTTTTTAATCAAATTTGCACTGTATGTATCACTTTTCTTAATTGAGATTAATTAGGATACCCTTTTATTAGTTATGTGATTTTTTTCGTCATTTCATGAAGAATCAGGTGGCAAGATGAAGAACCTAGCATGGAAATAAAACAAAAGAAGTCGTGTTTGCATGCGACGGGTTGTCAAAAGAGATAATCTGCGGCGCAGAGGCTTTTTTTTTATGTTAAAGATGAAAATGAAGATGAAACAAGGTCCACCAGTTTTTTTTTTTTTTTTGGTTCAATGGTCTGTTAAAATACTAAAATAATAGTTAAAATCATTGCAAATGTTTTACTTACTAGAGACTTGGAACTTTTAAGGAGAACGATGCAGAGTGACATACTATTAAAGATCAAATAGAGATAAAATGATACCTGCCATTTTTTTCTTTTTTGGGGAACTGATATAATACCAATGGCATTAACCGTATTCTTTTACTCTGATTCTCAGAGTAGAGAATGGCACTTTGATGGATTTTACCGAAGAATGTGTAAAAATCTATATAATTTAATAACAGAAAACCCAGAGAGAAAAAACTGGGATGGTTTTCTACTTGCCACGTAGGACTAGCAATTTTCTCCATTTTTTTAGTTTATTAAAAAGGGAAAAAAAGTTTTATCTTTGGTTAAAAAACTCTAAGGAAAAAATATATATTACTTAAGTAACCATCCGATAGAAGATTCTGTTTTCAAATACTCCGGAGCAAATCTTACCCGATATTATCCTATCTTACCCAAATCTTCTATTCTGGTTGGAAGTTTTTTAAATGTTAAATCATATTCTGTTGAGTCAATCTGATAGCAATCTCGTAGATGAAGCAAATTTTGCTAATGCAACAATCAACAAGAAAGTAAGAAAATAATTTGTCTATCCCGTGAAACTCAAAAGAGTGGGGAAAATTCACAGTAAGACGATCGTTTATCTAAGGATTTCTATCTCTTAACTCAAACCAAGCAAAGAACACATTATCCAAGAAAGATTCGAATTAAACAACAACCCAGACTAGAATAGTAAGGACACCATTCAATATACTCGATCAGTCATCATTCAAGAGACTCAAGACAGGTAGGAGCGAACAATGTTCAACTATGAAGAAATACTATTGATTAGTAATCTCCATAACTAACAAAGATATGCAACACATACACTATTTCAAAATGGTTATGCCAAAGCACAACTCATCCAACAAAAGTAGGACAAACCCTACACTGAAACTCATGAACACACTCATCATGAACTCGAAAACCAAGCCAAAAGAAAGGCTCATCAATCGAACTGCTAGAAGTAGTATGAAATTAAGAAGTTT